CATTCATTCTGTCTTTTCTATTCCCATTCCCCCTCCCTTCCCCTCATTCCTCTTTGTCTAATCCAATGAACTTCTATTCTTGCCCCGCCCCATCCTTATTGTGTGTTAGCATCCACATATCAGAGAGAATATTCAGACTTTTTTGGGGGGGATTGGCTTATTTCACTTAGCATGATAGTCTCCAGTTTCACCCATTTACCAGCAAATGTCACAGTCATTCTTCTTTATGGCTGAGTAATATTTCATTGTGTATACATACCACATTTTCTTTATCCATTCATCTGTTGAAGGACACCTAGGTTGACTCCATAGCTTAGCTATCGTGAATTGAGCTGCTGTAAACATTGATGTGGCTGTATCACTGCAGTATGCTGATTTTAAGTTCTTTGGGTATAAACCAAGGAGTGGGATAACTGGGTCAAATGGTGGTTCCAAGTTTTCTGAGGAATCTCCATACTGCTTTCCAGAGTGGTTGCACTAATTTGCAGTCCCACCAGCAGTGTGTGAGTGGGCCTTTTCCCCCACATCCTTGCCAGCATTTATTGTTACTTATGTTCTTGATGACTGCCATTCTGACTGGAGTGAGGTGGAATCTCAGTGTTGTTTTAGTTTCCATTTCTCTAATTTCTAGAGATGTTGAACATTTTTTTAATATTTGTTGACCGTTGTATTTTTTCTGTTCAGTTCCTGTGTATTGACTGGGTTCTTTGTTTTTTGGGTGTTGAGTTCTTTGTCTATCCTGGAGGTTAATGCTCTGAGGTGCAGGTGGTAAAGATTTTCTCCCATTCTGTAGGGTTTGTCTTCTCATTCTGGATAGTTTCCTTTGCTGTGAAGAAGCTTTCTAGTTGGATACATCCCACTTATTGATTCTGGATTTTACTTCTTGTGCTTGAGGATTCTTGTTGAGGAAGTCGGTTTCTAGGCCGGCATGATGGAGAGTTGGGCCGGCTTTTCCTTCTGGTAGGTGCAGGGTCTCTGGCCTCATGCCTTGACTCACTTTGAGTTGAGTTTGGGGCAGGGTGAGAGACAGGGGTCTGATTTTGCTTTGTTACCTATGGGTTTCCAGTTTTCCCAGCACCACTTGTGGCAGAGGCTGTCTCTTCTCCAATGTACGTGTTTGGTACTTTGTCTGGTACGAGGTGACTGTGTTCTTGTGGGATCGTCTCCGTGTCTTGATTCGGTACCCTGGTCTTCATGTCTGCTTCGGTGCCAGCACCGCGCCTTCTTGTTACCGTAGCTCTGCCCTGAAGGTTAAGGCCTGCACTGGGCCCCCGCTTCCCTCTTCTCACTGAGCACTGCTCTGGCTGTTCTGAGGCCTATGATGTGTTGATCGTCTCCTTCACCATCACGTCATTTATTGTTACTTGTGTTCTTGATGACTGCCATTCTGACTGGAGTGAGGTGAAATCTCAGTGTAGTTTTAATTTTCATTTCTCTAATTTCTAGACATGTTGATTTTTTTTTTTTTTAATATTTGTTGACCGATTGTATTTCTTCTGTGAAGTGCAGGGACTTGCGTCTGCCTTTTTCATTGTTATGTGCCCAAGCCTGGGGCACACAATAGGTGCTTAGTAAATACTTGTCCAATGAAAAGCAGACTACTTGGCTTAAGCCCCGGACCCAAGTGAGCACCAGGCCAACCGCTCTGCTCACCCCCTCTGCCCACAGGGGGAGATACCCGGGAAACGTAAAGAGGTCATCTGTGCCTTCTGGAAGATGGACAGTAACAAGAGTGGACACTGGGACACCACCGGCTGCTGGAAGCTGGGCAGCAGGGATAACAGCACCACCTGCCAATGCAACCACTTGAGTAGCTTTGCCATCCTCATGGCCCACTATGACATACAGGTAAGGGGCAGAGGACAGCCTCAAAAGGCCACAGGTGCTGGCACAGTGGGGCACGTCTGTCATCCCAGGGACTTGGGAATCTGAGGCAAAAGGATCACAAGCTTGAGGCCAGCCTCAGCAACTAACCAAAGACCTAAACAACTTAGTAAGACCCTGTCTCAAAATTTTTAAAAAGGGTGGGGGGTGGGGCTGTGGCTGGGGCTCAGTGGTTAAGTGGCTCTGGGTTCAATACCCAGCACCAAACAAAAACAGGGCTGAAGTAGCTGAATGGTAGAGCACCCCAGGTTCAATTTCCGGTGCTGCCAAAAAAAAGAAAAGGGCCCACAGGTGTCAAGGTCAGTTTAGGCAAGACAGTCAGCTGGCTCTCCATGGTACATTCCATCTCGTTGTTCAAATATGTCCCTGTCCCTGTGGTTGCATAGTCAAGTGGCCCTATGCCACACCCTCTGTCACCCTTTCTGGGACTTCATGACCCAGCAGCTGTGCTGCTTGGCACAGCCCTACTGCAGCCAGTGCCCCTCTGCCTGTCGAACTGGCACCAGTTGTGAAATGTTGCTAAAAACTCCCCACGTAGCCATTCGGGAGGCTGGGGCAGGAGGGTTGCAAGTTCCAGGCCAGCCTCAGCAACTAACCAAGGCCGTGAGCAACTTAGCAAGACCCTGTCCCAAAAAATAAAAAGGGCTGGGGGTGTGGCTCAGTAGTAGAGCCCCTCTGGGTTCCCAAAAAACAAAACAAAAACCTCCCCACGTAGTACACTCCAGGGTAGCACAGTTTTCTAAATGTGGCCTAAGGGAGGATCCATAGGTAGCTGGGCCAATCAAAGTCACCCAAAATTAGCCAGAGGCCCAGCAAGTACTACCCCGTGGATGGAGTGTGGCCCTCGGGTCCTGACGGGACTCCGCCCACCCATCCCGCTCCTAGGACTGGAAGCTGGAGCTGATCACCAAGGTGGGACTGTCGCTGTCGCTCGTCTGCCTTCTGCTGTGCATCCTCACCTTCCTGCTGGTGCGGCCCATCCAGAGCTCTCGCACCACCGTGCACCTGCACCTCTGCGTCTGCCTGTTCCTGGGCTCCGCCGTCTTCCTGGCGGGCATCGAAAAGGAAACCCCAGACGGCGAGGTGAGGCCCTGCGGTGGGGTTGGGAGACCCAGAAGCGGTGAGCCCCGCCCTCCCCTGGGACCCCCAGGCCAGGAGGCTCCGCCTGCCGCCGAAGTCTTGGCGAAGGGCGCCGGCCTTGGAGGCACGTGCCACCCCCAGGCCCACCCGCCAGGACGCTGTCAGAGGCGACCCGGAAGCGCCTGGCCACGCCCCCTGGGCCGGGGGAGGGGCTCGGGCGACGCGGCCCCGCCCCGCGCTGACGTCGCCCGGCCCCTCCTCTGCTCCCGCAGGCGGGGCCGCGCTGCCGCCTGGTGGCCGGGCTGCTGCACTACTGCTTCCTGGCCGCCTTCTGTTGGATGAGCCTGGAGGGCCTGGTGCTGTACTTCCTCGTGGTGCGCGTGTTCCAGGGCCAGGGCCTGAGCACACGCTGGCTCTGCCTGATCGGCTACGGTGTGCCCCTGCTCATCGTGGCCATCTCGGCGGCCACCGCCAGCGAGGGCTACGTCGGCGAGACCTAGTGAGTATACTGGATGGGGCAAAGGCGGGGGCTGGGTTTCCAGGTGACAGCACCCCAGTTCCGTGCCCCTCTGGGGTCTGATGGGTCCCCTTCTCTCTCCCAGCTGCTGGTTGAGCAAAAAGCATGGCTTTTTCTGGAGCTTTGTAGGACCCCTGGCCTTAATCATTTTGGTAAGTGCCCCCTTTCTACAGAAAGCCTGAGTGACAGGGTCCCCACCTTCACCCCTCTCATCCACAATCTGTACCCCCCACCCAGTGCAATGCTGTGATCTTCGTGATTACCGTCTGGAGGCTCACTCAGAAGTTTTCTGAAATCAACCCAGACCTGAAGAAATTACGGAAGGCAAGGTGAGATGGCTGGAATCAGCGAAGGGGCTGGGACCTGAGGGGCCTGGAGGTGCAGGTTGTGGGTGGAGATAAGGGGCTGGGGTGAAGGGAGTGCAGGATGGAGGTCAGTGTCTGTCCCTCTCTCCCCTGCAGGGTGCTGACAGTCACAGCCATTGCCCAGCTCTTTGTGTTGGGCTGTACCTGGGTCTTTGGCTTGTTCCTCTTTGAACCCTACAGCTCGGTTCTGACCTACATCTTCACCATCCTCAACTGCCTGCAGGGACTTTTCCTCTACGTCCTGCTCTGCCTTCTCAACAAGAAGGTGGGCTGCCAGGGGAGGCTGTGGGAGGAGCTATGCCTCAGTCCTGGGGTGGCCTCTCCCCTGACCTGGCACCTTGGGCTTGCAGGTGAGGGAAGAGTACCGCAAGTGGGCCTGCATGGTTGCTGGGAGCAAGTACTCCGAGTTTGCCTCTTCCACAACTGGCACCAGCCACAATCAGACTCGGGTAAGGGACTGTGCCTGAGGCAGGGTACGTGGGAGGGCACCTGGTCAGGGGTCAAGTCCTCACAGGCTCCTCTCTCCCCAGGAGCTCAGGCCATCGGAGTCTGGTATGTAAAGGCAAGGATCACGCCAAGCCAGTGACTCCTGCACGTGCTGAAGGCTATCCTCCTGCTGCTGTCCTCCCACCTTGGGCCCCATTGCAGTAAAGCGGGCCACAGCTCATCTCACACTCAACCCCAGAACGGGGTGAGCTGCCAGCGGTCCTGCTTCTGACCATCTCTGTGCCCCACGAAAGCTGTGGGGACAGAAACTGGCCCAGGGTTGCAACCCACTGCTCTAGCACATACTGCCAGTTCTGAGGACAGACTGCGGACCCCGGTGCCCTTTACCCTCAGCTCTTTGCCACAGAACAGAAGGGGCCAGGATGCTGGGTTCAGCTTGCCTATTAAGCCAAGACTGAAGTCAGAGGCAGAGAAGCTGGCTGCCGCTGACGCTCACGGTACAGAGGCCTGGCTGCCCACCTGCAGGGGCAGAGGGGTCTCCCTGTTGTGAAGGTTGGATGTTGTGTAATGTCTTTTTATCTGTGTAAATCTCTCAGTGTTGACACTTAAAAAAATTAAATATCATGATACAGAAGGTGGCGCTGCTCATTGGCCAGGCCGTGTCCATGAAATGCTGACAGACGACAAAGAAACAGATGGGGTGGGAGTCAGGCTTCCATAATAAAAATTTATTCTTACACAAATCTACAGCTTTTGAACAGTAAAAAGAGACACCCATCTGTTGCCTAGAAAGAGGACATGAAGCAGCACGTGGGAAGCAGGGCGGCTGGGTCTTCAAGGCGCGTGGTTACCGGCTCTGCTCGACTGCAAAGACAACAGGGGAGGCAGTGAGGGAGAGGTCCTCTGCCCCGGACCTGCATCCCCAAATGCTGGCCCTGCCCCAGCCACTTACTGTATGTGGAGATATCGATTTCTTCCGGAAGCTCAGCCACATTCACTTCAAACCGGTCCTGGACATCATTGAGAATTTTGGCATCATTTTCATCAGACACAAAAGTGATGGCCAGGCCTTTGGTGCCAAAGCGACCTGCGCGGGCCACCTGCAGGAAGGCAGGAACAGGGTCAGGCCATAGACACGCACTCAGGGTTTGATGATGAGCAGAGCCAGGTGCCCACCCACTGTCATCCCGGGAGGAGAACCTCTTACCCGGTGGAGGTAGGTGTCCGAGTCCTCGGGCATGTCATAGTTGAAGACGATGTTGACGCGCTCAATATCCATCCCTCGGCCAAAGAGATTGGTGGCCACCAAGATCCGCCGCTGGAAGTCCTTGAACTGCTGGTAGCGTGACAGACTGGGTGCAGGAGAAATAAGTGGAGGCTGTCAGACACGGGCTCCTGGGCGCTGCTCCCTCTGGCCACGGCAGGTGGCGTGCACTCACCGCTCCTCCTGGGCCATGCCCCGGTGAATGGCGATGGCTGGGAAGTTCTGCTCCACAAGGAGCTGGGCCAGGGCCATGCAGCGCTGCACGGATTTGACGAAGATCACCACCTGTGGGAGAGGCAGCGGTTAGGCCTGGCCGGGTACCCGCTCCTGAGGCCCAAAGCCCAGGACAGGCTACGGGGGCATCACCTGGTTAAACTCCAGCACATCCAGGAGGTCAAACAGCTTTCGGTTCTTCTCGCTGTCCTTGAGCTTGACATAGTACTGCTGCAGCCCATGTAGCGTGAGCTTGGTCTCGTCGTCCACAAACACCTCCATGGGCTGTGTGGGAAGGGAAGCAGGAAGGGGCGAGCGGGGCTCACTTCTGGGCGTCTCGCCTGCCCAGAACCTTCCAGGGAGTGGCTCCTTTGCAGCGATGCTTCCCAGAGGGCCTGCTGTACCCAACCTCAGAAACAATTCTCTACCAAAAGCTGGATGTGAGCTCTGGTCTGGCTCAGGCGTGGACCACACTCGACTCTCAGTGTGACAAAACAGGGGAAAGAAGGAGCCTCAGCCGGCCTCCCAGCATCCTTCCAGCCGTGAGGGCAATGTGGGTGTCGTGGAGCGGCCCCAGGCCCCTGGGGAGGGCTGAAGCTGCTGCGCTGAGGTCTCAGCCACCACGGGCAGGCCGGGGCGTCACCCTACTCACATCCTGCATGAACTTCCTGCAGACTGGCCGGATCTCCTTGCTCAGGGTGGCACTGAACATCATGCACTGCTTCTCATGAGGCGTTAGGCGGAAGATCTCCTGCACATCCCGCCGCATGTCTGGGTGGGGAAGGCAAGAACCAGGGGGGCATGAGTATCTGCCAGACCACCAGCCCAGCCCAGTTAGTCCCAGCCCCTCCCACCTGTGTCAGGGAGCCACTGGCACCATGACGAGGACAGAGGGAGTCAAGGGAGTGGCAGGAGGGAGAGTCCCAGGTGCCTGAGGGGCTGGACTCAGGGGAGAGTGAGCGCAGGCGCGGGAGGAACTGCAGTCGACTTACACGCTGCCAGAGCGGAGCAGCTGTGCCAATGCGCCTCGGGCCGCGCTTCGGGGAGGGGAGCCTGAGGCAGAGATAGCCGCTGGGGTGAGAGCCGCTGGGGTGAGAGCCGTAGCTGCTCCCAGGACACAAGCCCTTCTCCCACGGGTCCTGCCACAGCTGACTGAGGGCAGATGGCACCCAGGACTAACCCAACAGGTGGCAGAAGCCGCTCTGCTCCTCCAGGTGCATGTAGGCATGCTCATGTGCCCAGGAAGGGCTAGCAGCTCGTTCGGGCACAGTGGTCCCGTTGAGCTTGGCTTAGAAGCAGCACGTCCCACTCTGCCAGCACAGAACTTCCCTTAGAGCCATTTACCAGAGGCCTGTGTTCTGGCCATATCCATGTGACCCACTATGGGACTCTTAGAAACTGCCACAACCCACTTAGAAACCGACTCTGGAGTCTGGGGGCCTGCAAGGGTGGGAGGTGTGGCGGGCGGGCCCCAGGTAGCCCCACAGGCTTGGTAGGGACACTCACCCAGCTGCTCCAGCATCTTGTCACACTCGTCCAACACAAAGTGCTTCACGTTTTTTAAGTTGAGGCTCCTGTTCCGCACGAGGGCCAGGATCCTGCCTGGTGTCCCCACCACTACGTGGGGACAATTCTTCTTCAACACTTCTTCATCTTTCTTGATGGAGAGGCCCCCAAAGAACACAGACACCTACAGGCATGAAGAGAAAGTTGCTTCCACATATCTGGGGCTGTCCATACTCACACGCCATCCTTGGTCTGGAGAGCTCAGGCCCCAGCAGTGCCAAGAGTGCCTAACACTCCAGCCTTGGTGCCTCAGAACCCAGTGCCAGTGAACGGCAGCCCCAGGCTGGGATGGGCACAGGCCCCTAGAGGCCATGCATAATTCATCAGGCTTTTAAAGGAGCATAAACCACCGCAAACCTCAAAGGCAGCTGCTGTAGCCAAGCTTGGTAAATGCTGGCTGGCCTAGTGCTGGGGCCAGCGAGGCTACAGAGACCATGGGGCACCCTGCTTGCTTGCCTGAGGCTCACCTTGACACTGGGCATGTATTTGGAGAAGCGCTCATACTCCTTGCTGATTTGGAAGGCCAACTCCCTCGTATGGCACATGACCAGGACTGTCACCTGGGAAATGAATATGTAAGAAATCCTTGAGGAAGGCAGCCTAAATCCTCCCTCTCCAGAGCTCATACCCACCACACCTAACTGGTCCCCACCTGACAGGGCACCAGCCACACCTCAGTGTCCTATGCCTCAGGCCACTTGAAGGCCCAGTCCAAATGCCTTGCATCCCTCCACCTTCTCACAGCCCTTCATTGCCGCAAAACTCATAGCTACTGAGGCCTAATCTTTTGACGATAGGACCCGTAACAAAGCCAGACGGAGAAGGGACTGGGTAAAGGTAGAACCTGCCCACCCAGGGTGACAGAGGCTCCAAGTTAACAGCATCCTGCCTCTGCTCGAGCTGCACCTGCCTTCCTGCTCATGTCAAACACTGGTCACACCAGTCTTCCACCAAGATTCCATCCTTCAGGACTTGCCCCAAGACAAGGGTACAGGTCCCAACACACCACACAAGGATATGAAACCTGGCATGACTCGTTTGTTCTGTTTTTGCTGCTGAGGATGGAACCCAGGGCCTCAACACATGGCGGCCAAATGTGCTGCAATTGAGCTACACCCAGCACCCCTGTATTATTCTTAAGATCAAAACACCAGAATTCACCAAGTTATTACCCAGATAATGGAATTCAATGTTAATGACATGAGGTCGCCAGGCCTATCATCAGCAGGAACAACCAGACAGGGCAATTCTACCTCCCAAAGCATAAGCTACGAGGGAAGCACCCACTGAAGCAGCAGCAATGTCTCTGAGTGGTTTATGAATTGCAGGTACCTTCCAGTTCTGCCTTATTGGCTTTTTAAATTTTAACTACTTAATTTCAAAAAGCCCACAAAAAGAATGTGGGAGCATAATTTTACCAAGGGGAGCTGGGGCTCTGCTGCCCCAGGCAGTCTGCACCTGGAATGGAAGCAGCACTCACCTGTCCGTTAACAGGCTCGATCTGCTGCAGAGTAGCCAGCACGAAGACAGCCGTCTTGCCCATCCCAGACTTGGCCTGGCACAGGACGTCCATGCCCAGGATGGCCTGGGGGATACACTCATGCTGGACTGAGGAAGGAGGAGCATGTGAGTGACCAGAAAACAGGGCATTCCTTCTCTACAGATTCTCTACACCTTCCTGGGAAGGTGACTAAGGGGACCCCAGATGGGGCAACCACAGGTCAATCCTGGGCCAGACCACAGACATCTGCCTGTCTGGGGTATTCCCCCAGTTAGAGCAGACTGCCATGCTGCAGAACCTCCCAGGACAACTGCACAGCTGACCCACAGGGAAAGCAAACCCTCCCTCATCCAGGACACACTAGAGGTTACGCTGCTCTGAGCAGGCAAAGCTGGTTTTGGGGAGATGAGCTGGGGCAGCGGGTGAACATCATCAGGGAGGCCTACCCTCGGATGGGTGTTCAAAACCACAGTCCACTATGGCCCTCAGGAGTTCTGGCTTCAGCAAAAAGTCTCGGAAGCCAGAGCTATGGATGGAGACGTAGGACCCCTTGACGTCTTTCTTAGGTGGAGCTGGAGTACTCTCTGGAGGAGCCTGGGGCTCTTCATCTTCTTCGTAATCCAAGAGCTCGTTCTCCACATCCTGCTCTGCCATGGTACTGAGAACAGAAGAGAGAGGAAGGGCCAAGGGAAGTGACAAAGTATAGCAGGACAATCTACCCAGCAAGGGAGACCATGGCCTGGCAGCCATAAGCTGTTGACACACACCCAAAAGAGGCCTTCATGGGAGGGCAAGCCCCATGAGGTGGCACAGAAAGTTAATGGAGCACTGGGCATGGTGGTGCAGGCCTGTAATCCTAAGACTCAGGAGGCTGAGACAGGAGGATTGCAAGTTCAAGGCCAGCCTCAGCAACTTGGAGAAGCCCTAAGTATCTTGTTTAAATTATTTTTTTTTTAGTTGTCAACTTTATTTTTATGTGGTGCTGAGGATCGAGCCCAGTGCCTCACAATGCTAGGTGAGTGCTCTACTCTGAGGGGCAACCCCCGCCCCACCTCAAGCATCTTAACAAGAACCTGTCTCAAAAAATAAAAAGCAAGCCACCGACAGAGCTGTAACTTCACCCTCAGATCCCTTTCTGCCTCAACACCGCCACCAGCTCCACCTGTGCAATACCACCCAGCTTCAGCCCATGGTTCCCACTCCTACCACCCTCCTCCAAGCTACCAGGTCTCTCCTCATGTCCTCACATGCCCATCAACATCCTCCAGCTCCAAGGGCTCCCATAGCACCCAGTGAAATCCCAATTCTGCTCCACAGTCCTCACGACCCTCCGGGTCCAGCCCCTGCCTACCATATTGCACACCACCCTTGCTCTGTTCATCTGCGCAGACTCACAGAGCCCCCATGCCAAGCCTTAAAGCCCTGCTGCCCCCGGGGGAACATTCTGCACAAAAACATCATTCTCAACATTCAAGTCTCAGTTCTTGAGACTCGTTCAAGACCTGCTTGGATCAATGAGCCCAAAGGAATCCCCCTTCCCCCCTCGCTCCTCAAGGACCCCAGACACCTGCAGGTGTAGCTGCCCAGAGGCTGGAGAAAACCGAGGATGTGCGGTGGGGTTGTGGCTCACAGGTAGAGCGCTAGCCTGGCATGTGTAAGGCACTGGGTTTGAGCCTCAGCACTACATAAAATAAAGATGTTGTGTCCACCTATAATTAAAAAATAAATATTTAAAAAAAGAAAACTGAGGATGTGAGGAAGCGAGAAGCGCCTGCCCAGCTCTGGTATCTTCTGCTACCTGTGGCCCACCCAGGGGAATAACTATTTTCATGAAAAGGCCTCCCACTAGGTGCTGGCCAAGCAAAGAGCTGAGATGGTAAATGGAATTAATACAAAGTTCACTCATCTCCTTGCTATGTCTAGCAATAGACACTAAGTGCCAGGGACCCAACTGTGAATATGCTTTTGTTCCCCCCTCCCCCACCCCCCATGGCAGCCTTCAGCTGAAGGTGAGACAGTGCTTCTTCCTGGGCCAACACACTAAGGGTGCTAGGTGGACTTTATCCAGCCCTATGGTTTTAACCATTTCTATGCTGATGGCCCTGTGTCTCTAGTCAAAACCCCTTCCCTAAACAGACCCAGTCACCAGGTGTCACTTTCACATCCTTGGGTGACACTAAAAGTTGAACTCAAAATGCCCAGAGGAAAATTCCCCATTTTCCCCTGAAGACTTGCATCCCCATCTACAAAACAATTCCATTCTCTGAAGGAATCTTCTCTTCTCTCTCTCCCTCAACTTCCTTCTCTGATCAGCCAAGGAATCCCTCCACCACATCCATCCAGGGCCCCACCCATGCTAGGCAGGTGCTACTTCTCACTCATGCTACTACACTGACCCCAAGCTGCCATGTCGTTTTTAAAAGTAGAAAAGCTTTACAGAGATATTCATGTGTTATAGAACTCAAAGTACACAATTCAGTGGATTTTAGCACAAAGACATGTGTCACCATTACCAATCAAGTTTAGAATGCTTCATCAGCTCAAAAAAGCCTCTGTACCATCAGAGGCTTCAGCCACCAACCCCAAGCCCAGAAAATCACTAATCTCTTGTCTCTACAGTTGCCTGTTTTGGACGCTTCTCATTAAAAGGCTCATACAACATATGGCCTTGTGTCTGGCTTTCTTCACTAAGCATCATGTTCTCGAAGTTCATCCACTTTATAGCATGGATCAGTGCTTCACTCCTTTTTATAGCCATATAATATTCCCTTGTGTGGGCACATTAACACATCTTTGTTATCTGGGTGCCATCACTTCTTGGCTGGACTATGCCAACGGCCTCCTCAGTGGCTCCCTGTTCCCATCCCCTTCTACCCAAAACGGTCAAAGGGAGTCTGTTAAAGCTAAGTTGGGCCTGACATGTCACTATGCTGCTCAGAACCTGTCACAGGCTTCCACTGTGCTCAGATAACACTCAAGTCAGCACCACAGCCCCCTCTCCATGCTGACTCTCTACCTACTCACCTCACCAGCCTTGCTGCATCTCAAACACACCTCAGCACTTGCTATCTCTGGCGCCTGGAACAGTAAAGAACTCCCCTGCCCGATACTTCTTTTGGACCCCCATTGCTCCAAAAGGGCAGTTCCTTACAGCCCCAACCTAAAAGCGGACTGGCATAGAGCAGATAAGCACTCAAAAGCAATGGCTGAATGAATGGAACAAGAATCAGGTCTTAAGGCAGAGTGTGCAAGTCTCTGAATCTGGAAGCAATCTGATACCAACCCTAAGAATTCTTACTGGCAAAGACAGGAGGGGTCCATTTTCCAAGCACCAGAGAAAAGACCAACAGCAAAGAAAGAACAGGAGCCAAAAAAGATCAGTCCAAAAAGCACCAGATCTTTTGGGGTATGAAGAACAACTGGCTGGCTGAAGTACAGGCAGCAGACAAAGCTGGAAGAGCTGGTCAGGCCCAGGGCACTTATGCTTAATTTACTAAGCAATAGGGAATCGCTGATTAGGTTTCAGAGTTGAGTGAGTCAATCAGCATTTACCCAAGAGGAATTTACTCCACAGACGCAGAGGAGGCTGACACCAAGAGCCAGGAAAACCAGTCACCAAATGGAAGGGAATTAAAGCGGGAGGGGGGCTGGCTAAGGAAGGAAGGAGAGGAGAGGAGACCGCGGGACACCAAACAGGTCAGAGACAGGCATCACCTGGGCAACCCACAGATGGAAAAGAACCAGAGTTACCTCCTCTGACTTCCAAATCTGGGTGGCCAAGAGACGGCGTGTTTAAAATACACAGACCAAGCCAAGTTGTTTTGTGTTGATGTGGAGACATATTCGCAGCACAAATTTTTGCAGAAGGGGCGAGGGATGTAGCTCAGTGGTGGAGCGTTTTCCAAGCCAGTGCGAGGTCTTGGGTTCCAACTCCAGAGAGAGGAAGGGGGGGAAAAGGCAACTCCCAGAAGTGGCTGGCCAGAGTCCTATGCTCGAAACAAATCGGGTCATAAGGCAGGATTTGGTGTGGTCTAACAGCCCAGAAAGGCCGCCGCGACAGATGAGGTCCCAGAAGCAGCAGGGCTTGGAAGCTGACACCGGGGTAAATGACAACCCAGACATGCCACGCGCACCCATCTGCCCTCCATTGTCCTCAGATAGGCTTTTCACCCCGGCGTTGATTCCCTACTGGGAACTTCTAATGTCAAAAGAAGATGATTTCTGCTCTAAGTGTCTGGAACTCGAGTCCCGCCGATGCAGGGGGCAAGAACAAGGTGCAGTGGGGGAGGGGGACGCCCTTCGGACCCGGAGAAACCCGTCTGGTAGCTCTGGCTTCTCCCACCGCGGCCTCAAACTCCGGTGTAGCCCCCTCAGTCTCTCCCACAAAAGGCCCCAAGCCGCCCCGGGGTCTATTCTCTCCCCCAACTCGGGCCCAGCCCGCAGACAGACCGCCATGACACCCCCTCCCGGAAGCCGGCCCGCGCCCTGCGCGCCAACGGCCGGCCCGGTCCTGTCCTGGCGCATGCGCCCCGGCGCCCAACGGCCACCACCGCGCGCTCCGGGAGCCCCAACTGCCCCGCCCCCCCTCCTGCTCCCCTTCAACCCGCGGTATCTGCTCTCGCCCGTTTATCCACAGGTCCGACGTCCCCGCACCGCGGCCCCGCGCCCCCGGCGCCGCCGCCTACCTGGGTCTCCGTTCGCCTCCGCGTGCTAAGAGGAGAGCCGCCTGACTCCGGTTACCCGGCACGCGCCGCGACACGAGCTGCGGCGCTTCCTGCCTCCTCAGTAAGACTGTGGTTCTGCTCACAGGACACCTTGCTTTTCAGTCAAGAGAAGCGGAAGTGGTGATTGGATAATAAGGAAGGTGTCAGGAGGCTATTGGTGGAGAGGAGAACAGAGGGCGTGCCTCAAGCCTCCGCTTCATTGGTCAATCTGAAAGTAGGCGCGCCAAAATGAGATCTACGCCGGGCGGCGCCCCGTCATGTGATCTGGGTTCACTCCTCCATGGGTGCCGCCATGTTTAGTGCTGGCAACTGAAGGGCCGATAATTAGCCTTTGACTTGTGCCCCACCCTTTAGAATCGTGGCCTCGGTCCTTGACGCTAAATCCAGTGCTCCCGGAGTTAGCATTGCCCGCCCGCGTGGGGGCCCTCCACCCTGGAGGCTTTGAAAGGACTCCCAGGAGGCTTGGAGGCTTCCAGTGACTATTCTTGTCTGTTCTTGAATTTAACAGAAGTAGAATCCTGCAATAGGTTTGTCTTTGGTGTCTGGCTTCTTTAGCTTTTTTTTGTGTGTGCCAGGGATTGAACCCAGAGGCGCTTACACTGCCACATCCCAGGCCTTTTTCTGTTTTAATTTAGAGTCAGGGATCGCTGACTTGCTGAAGCTGGCTTTGAACTCACAATCCTCCTGCCTCAGCCTCCTCAGCCCCAGGGGAGGGCTGTGTTGTGGTGTGTGCCACCACACCCGCCTGGCTTAGCTTCTTTTGCTTAGCAAAATGTCCATATGAGGGCAAATTGCTGGGCATACCAGCAGTTTGTTTTGCTTTCTCTCCTGGAGTAGTATTTATTGTGTGGCTATATTACAATAGAGCCAATATACTTTTTTTTCCATTCATCTGTTAATGATCAATTGGTTGTTGTTGATTTTGTGTATTTCAACAACACAACGCCTTGTGCTGCCCGGCAAGCATACTGACATTGAGCTGCATGCACCCTGAGCCCCTGTTTTCCCTGCTGAGACAGCGTTTTGTTGTTGCCCAGGATAGCCCTGCACCTCTGAGCTCAAGCGATCCTTCTGCCTCAGCATCCCCAGTATCTGGGAACATTAGGCGAGGTACCACCACATCTCTTTTGGCCGGTGTTAATGAAGTTTGTACAAGTACCTTTGTGAACAGATTTTTCCGGAGTCAGATTCCTAGGAGTAGAAAGGTAGACCACATACCATTGTGTATGCAAGGTTTGGGTTTAGTAGATTTACCACCCCCCAATACTGGGGCTTGAACCCCGGTTGATCTGCCACTAAATTACATCCCCATCCCTTTTTAAAAATTTTGAAATAGGGCTGGGGAAGCTGGAGCAGGAGGATCCCACATTCAAAGCCAATCTTAGCAATTTAGCAGGAGCCGGTCTCAAATAAAAAGGACTGGTAATGTGCCTCAGTGTTTAAATGCCCCGGGTTCAATTCCCTGTTCACCTTTCACCACCACCAATACTGCATTAACACATTGTCTTTTCCTTTTGTTTTGTTTTTTATGTTACTGGGGATAGAACCCAGGGAAGCTTTATGACTGAGCTGCATTCTCCAGTCCTATTTTAAATTTTTGAAACAGGGTCTTGCTAAATTGCTCACACTGGCGCCTGCAACTTGCCATGTTCCTGAGTAGCTAGGATTTCTGGCATATGCCACCATATCCAGCACACATGGTGCATTTTGAATTTTATGCCCTAAGCCAGTTTCTCACTTCATCCCTAGTCCTGGGCTTAGGTGCTAGCCCTTATCCTGAGAAATCTAAACCTATCAACAGATTCCATCAAACGTTTAATCACCATGTGGAGCAAGTGAGGGGATGGTATTAGCATATTTTTTGCCAGATACATGGCCTAAAACCTAGAGAGGATTAACCCCAGGCCCAATGTCACACAGTTGGCAGAGATCCAAGCCAGGCTGTGTCCCTTTCTTAGGCTGTACCCTCTGAAGGTGGAGACAGAGGCTGAGGCCAAGTAATTTGGCTGAGGATTTTTGTTTTGTTTTGGTTTGGTTTTGGTGGTGCTAGGGAGGTCAAACGCAGTGCCTCATGCAGGGTAGGCAAGCACTCTACCACTGAGCCACATCCCCAAGGCCAAGTAACTTGGAAGCCTGGGGAAAATCAGTCCCCAGAGAGAGATGCCCCAGAGAAAGAGGTGGGAGGTGCACTTGGAGTAATTAGATCATCTGAAATGAGTTTATAGAGGCTGAAGCTAGTTGAGTCCTGTTGAGAAGTCTAGGGAAACAGTGGCTCACCATCCATGCAGCCTGTGAGAAGGTTCTACAAAAAAAAAACTTACAGGAAAGATCAGAGCCTCCTAAAATACACCCACCACCCAAGATTAGCAAATGTTAACATTTGTCATATTGGCTCGATCCACTTCAGAATGTTTTAAGATAGAAAAGACTTAAAACACACCCACCCAGAGAGCTAAAAAGAAAGACTGACAGTATTGATGGCTGGAGAGCCTACGGTGCTGGCAGAACCCTCACCCACTGCTGGAGGCTGGTGAACCAGCAAAACCACTTTGGAAAATTTCTGGGCAGCCTTCATCTTAGCCAGGAGGCCCCAAAGTGGCTGAGCATTATTTTTTGAGGGTTTTGTTTTCTATGGTGCCAGGGATAGAACCCAGTGCCTTGTACATATTAGGCAAGAGCCCTGCTACGGAGCTGTACCTGCAGCCCCGGTTGGGGCAGTTCCTAATAAGGATCACGAGGCATTTTAACCTCAGCCTTGACTTTTCTTTCAGCTTGGTGTTGGGGACTATCTTGTGTACTGTAGGATGTTGATCAACCTTCCTGGCCTCTGTATACCTGTGTTCCCTTCTAGTCATGATAACCAAAGATGTACCCAGACACTGTTCACGGCTCCCCCTAGAGGAAGGGGCAAAATCCTTCGCACCCTGGGACCCACCCTGCTCCCCTTCGTTAAACAGACCTGTGTCATGCCAAGCAGTCTTCCTAGGTGAGGACCTAACAATCGATGAAATGCTTTTTTGTTCACAAAAGACATGAGCAAGGATCATACTTTTATTCCTAATAGCCCCAAGCTAGAAATGACTCAAATGTCCACATAAAAAGTGAATGGAGGGGCTGGGGATGTGGCTCAAGTGGTAGCGCGCTGGCCTGGCATGCGTGCAGCCCGGGTTCGATCCTCAGCACCACATACAAACAAAGATGTTGTGTCCACTGAAAAATAAATATTAAAAAAAAATCTCTCTCTCTCTCAAAAAAAAAAAAAAAAAAAAGTGAATGGAGAAGCAGGGCCTGTGGTGCACACCTTTAATCCCAGCTACTTGGGAGGCTGAGACAGGAGGATCACAGGTTTGAGGCCAATCTCAGTAATTTAGAGAGTCCTTGTCTTAAAATAAAAAAAACATAAAGGATTGAGGATGTATCTGAGTGCCCCTGGGCTCAATCCACAGCACCCAAAACAAATAAATAAATAAATAAAAAGCCCAAATGCATTGCATCTGTGCTGAGCATATACAGAATTTTTTCTTGTTCTGATTCCCTAAACAATACAGTATAACAACTATTTACAGAGCATTTACATTGCTTTGGGTATTATAAGTCATCTGGAGACCCTTGAAAGTATATGGGAAGAGCAGGGCACTCAGGCCCACACTCATAATCCCAGTGACTCAGGAGGCTGAGGTAGAGGATCCTAAGTTTAATGTCTGCACGAGGAAACTAGCCAGACCCTGTCTCAAAACTGAAAACAAAAAGGGGCAAGGATATAGCTTAGTGGTAGAGCACCCCTGGGTTCAATTCCCAGAACTGGGAGGGGGGGAGTCCATGGGAGGATGTACATGGGTTCTATGCAAATGTGACACCCTTTCCTAAAAGGGAGTTGAACTTGAACGGCCACGTGACTTGGTATTGGGAGGATCCTGAAACCAATCACCCTTGAAATTTAAATTGCTAGAAAATTTTTAAAAATCTAAGTAATGATACACACAATATTATAGATGAATCTCAAAGCCAACACGTTCTCTATAAATATAATCAAAATCACTGGATCATACACTTTTAGTTTTATTTACTTATTTAAATTTTTGTGGTATTGAGGGTTGAACTCAAGGATGTTTTCCTACATCCTACATCCTCGGCCCTTTTTTTTTTTTATTCTTTGAGACAGACAGTTTCACCAGTTTGCCTGGGCTGGCCTCAAATTTGGAATCCTCCTGACTCACCTCTGGTATAACAGGTGTGTGCCACTGCACCTGGCTCATGTTTTACTTTTATTATTATTATTATTTTAAATTTTGAGAGAGAGTCTTGCTAAATTTTCCAGACTGGCCTCAAATTTGTAATCCTGCCTCAGCCTGCAAATTGCTGGGATTACAGGCACGCACCACCACACCCAGCAAGTCAAACACCTTTAAAAGCGTGAATTTTATGGTCTGTGAATTTAATCTCAATAAAAATAAATAAATGAATTTAAAACATGTTGAGCAAAAAAAGCCAGTCACAAAAAAAGCACATGTGGATGATTCCAGGAAATACAAAGTTCAAGGAAAACCTCAATCGATGGTAATAGAAATTATAGGAGGAAATTTGCCTAGGCAGAGACACAAGCTAAACTCCTCGTGGCAGACTGGACCAAGTGGTGATCACCCGGGTATAGACGTATATGAAAATTAGCTGGGGCTGTAGCTCAGTGATAGAGCCCTTGCCTAGCATGTACCAGGCCCTGGATTCCATCCCCGCTGCAGGAAAAAAAA